GCAGGAACCCCGACACCAACACCACGGATATCCACACATCTTCAGAGTCCTCCACAGACAGCTGGTCTGTCCCGGAGGGGCATCCAGGAGCCCCTTCTCCCCGTTCTCATCATTGAAAAAATTGTATCAATCGCATTGAGAGACCAACTGACGAGATCCATTTTAGTGGATTTCAGTTTACAGTTTCCAGAAAAAATGCAGAAGCAGCCGTGCACCCAGCACACACAGACAGACAAAGGCCTTGAGGATAAGATATGTAGGAGAGGAGAAGAAAAGCATCTGCAACCTTCAAGAGCCGGAAGAAGAACAATGAAGCATATCAAGAAAAGAACACTGTCTGTACTGTGAAACATGGAGGAAGCTCTGTTGTGTTCTGGGCTGCTTTGCTACATCTGGCACAGGGTGTCTTGAATCTGTGCAGGGTACAATAAAATCTCTATACTGTCAAGGGGTTCTAGAGCTGGCCAGTGTCAGAAAGCTTGGTCTCAGTCAGAAGTCATGGGTCTTGCAACAGGACAATGACCCAAAACACACAGCTAAACACACCCAAGAATGGTTAAGAGGAAAACAATTAACTTTTCTAAAGTGGCCTTCTATGAGAAGAAGAAGAAGAAGAAGAAGAAGAAGAAGAAGAAGAAGAAGAAGAAGAAGAAGAAGAAATCTTTTCTATAGTGCCTCTCAAGATAAAAATCACGAGGCCTGACCTCAATCCTATTGAACTTCTTTGAAGGGCTCTTTTTACAGATGGCATGTTTCAGCTAATTCCATACAGTTTGCTCATGAGGAGTGGGCCAAAATACCTGCTGAGAGGTGCAGAAATCTCATTGATAGTTACAGGAATCGTTTTATTGCCTCAAAATGTAGTGCTACAAAGTATTAAGTTAGCGGTACCAGAATTTTTGGCCAGGCCTGTTCCATGAGTTTTTTATGTGTGTGTGTGTGTGTGTGTGTGTGTGTGTGTGTACATATATATATATATATATATATATATATATATATATATATATATATACACACACACATATTTATATAAAATGCTTTACATTGTTTTAACATATTTATAAAAAAAAAACTCTGAAGGTGTGGCAGCTTTGCTGTTGCGATGGGCTACGCTCAACTACATGTAGAGGAAACCCTGAAAAAATAAAATGGTGGTTATTTATAACTTTCACACAAAAACACACTTCAAATTCGTTTCAATAGCAACTTTTTTATGACCGTAGACTTCATTAATGATGCTTCTAAGACACACAACTGGTTTTTACGATGCTCTGACAGAGATTTCTTTGAAATGTTTTCACCAGTATCTCACAACTGTAAACTTCATCACCTCAATGCCCTCCTTCTTTAACAGAGTGACCTTTTGTGATTCCCATCCCGAGAAACAAATACAGGCAGGCAGTAAGTGAAATTGGAAAAGAGATGATGCTGTGCTGTTTGTGCAGAAACATACGTGCCAGTTCTTAATTTAGCTAAAGTAAACATCATTAAGGAGAAGCGATTTAAGTGGCTGGCCTTCTTCACTGCTGAACAAAAATATCTGGTTTTAGCTTGCTGTTTGGGCGAGGGATGTTTAAGCACACAGGAAAACTGTTTTATTTGTGTCTTGGGCTAAATAAGCTGCCTATTGTGTTGTAGTTGAAGCTTTGAACATCTGCCATCTAACACTGGGATGGAAGGACTGGGAGCTTTTAACAGATCTGACACACACACACACACACACACACACACACACACACACACACACACACACACACACACACACTCCCCCACCCCAAAGGAGTCCTAGAGCCTTAGTCAGCGTCTGTGTCCGTGCGTGGGCCTGTTCCCTGGCAGTGTGAGGGGAAAAAATACCTTCCCATATGATGTAAACACCAAAGTCCCTGCTTGCGTGTGTGTGTGTGTGTGTGTGTGTGTGTGTGTGTGTGTGTGTGTGTGTGTGTGTGTGTGTGTGTGTGTGTGCGTGCGTGTGTGCGTGTATGTGACTGGCATTCTCTGAGATAGGATTCGCTCAGTGTGACAGTTTTCCAAATTATTCCACAACACTGTGCAGTTTCTTTTTAACGATAAGTTCCTCTGCCATCTCTGCTTTGTTCCGCTGCACACAGTGGAAAGCAGAGATGACGCTGTCAAAGGGGCTGACATGTGACATCATCGCGTAAAGGAGGGCAGTGAGGAGAAAACACAGGCTACTGCTTTTAACTTTTACTAATGCTTTCCCACTCACTTCATCTTACTGTATAAGACATGAGACTTCTGATTTGACGATAGCCGCGTTTCCACTACAAGCCGAAACTAAGTTGAACCACCGCCATTACTGCGGTGACAGTTCTTCATCAGGCAACCATAGGTGTTGTGTGCGAAGCGGGCTTTTGAAAGTCAGCAGCAAGAGGTGGGAGTTGTTTCTGTTGTCTAGGAAGGCTGGGATTATGTGTGCAGTCATTGGCTGTTCCAAATACAGCAGAAAACTCCCTTTTTGTTAATTTTCTCTCAGTTGTTTGGTTGAGTGACATATAAACGGCCCATATTAAACACAGTTACAGTGCTTGTTTTACTGTGGCGCCACCATTGTGATATTTTATTTAATGAAGGGATTATTCTTCTGAACATAACTGCCTTTCTTTCTTTTGAGACATGGAATGAATCGCTGCTGCATTTGGACACACGCAGTCAACAGTGTGGCAGCTGAGCGTTGATTCAGCCTCTGGAACAATATTAAAAAACCACTTGGCTATAGCCTATTGGACAAGTCTCTTAGACCTTTGATTATGGGTGGACAAGCAGGTGACCAGTTAAGACAAGACCGTCGTCACAAAGCAACACCCATAACACCGTAAAACAGGACGGTACGTACCAAATAAGCTGTGCTGCAGCGTTGTTGTTGTACCTTACCCCAGCCATTTTGCATATCCTGTTTCCATTTCGTCTGCGTCCCTCCCGCCAGCCTCTGTTTACTGCTTGTGTTGCTGTAAGTTATGGGTGTGAGATATGGCCTAAAATCAATATCACGATATATTGAGGATTTCACCTCGATAACGATAAGTGGTCGATAACTACGTGCATGCACAAAATGAGTCAGAAATTTCGATCATAAAATGTCAGATCCCCGTCAGTCACAGGGGTCTTTTATTGATTTTGGCACCAATTGTGATAAAAAGCAGGTTTTCCACTGACAAAATGACATACTGGATAATAACATTTGTGGATGAGAAACACATTTGGATGACTGAGACATTCGGTATTGCGCTTCCCCGTTCTGCCACTAGATGCTGTTCCTACGCGCGGTCGGAGATGTTCTTACATTTAATGTTTCTACGCACAAGTACAAAATTATAAATACCACACAATGCGCAGAATTGTTCCTATGCTCGAAACACACACAGATCTGTGCATAAGTCCGTTTGATAAATGAGGCCCCTGGGATTTTTGTACCCAGAGTACAAGTCACAAGGCATTCATTCCTGCTGGAGACCACTGCAAATGAGTGAACCACACCTTTAACTCCTGACCCATAATGCACACTAGATTAGACTTGTGATCTAGAAAATCACTTGTCACACCATTATAATTGTTGCCTAAAGGCTAAATATAATAAGAGCAAAGTGAACACCAGTCATTTTATGAAATGCTCTTAGTTATAATTATGGGTGAGCCACAGCTTAGCAGGGTTTTTCTATTTTTTCTCTCCTGTTGTTATTGTGAGTTGTGTTTATGTAATTACTCTGTTGTCTTATTTTATGTTTTGTTGGATAGTTTGAGGACCCGCTCGAAACAAGATGCCACATCTCAAGCAGTTTTCATCCTCATAAAATGAAAGTTAAATAAATAAATAACATTTCAGACACTGAGGACTCCAAAGCGCTTGACGCTACAGCCAAACTTTAGCGTTTACATGAATTATAGTAATATTGCTATGCTGGTAAATGGTAATGGTAATGACCCAACCCCAGCTTGGGAATTGCTGGTCTATGTAGTCATATTTTACACCATCTTGAGGACACACATTGATCTACAGCAGGGTTGCCTAACCTGGTCCTGGAGGAGGGTATCCATCATTTTGTAGTTGTTTACCTGCTTTAACACACCTGGTTTCAATCATCGGGTGATTAACAGGATCTGCAGAGCTTGATTAGCTGCTGAACAGCTGATTCAACCATTGAATCAAAGTGTATTGGAGCACAGAAACTAAAACCTGCTGGATACTGGCCCTCCTGGATCAGGATTCAGAACCCCTGTTCTACGGTGTTGCTGTGGTTACCATGCAGCAGGTGAGAGCCAGCTGCAAAACAGTCATCATCATCATCTGTCAGCGTTTTCATTATAACAACGTTCAGATCTGTTCAAGGCCATGCAGGAGCGCTCTCTGGAAATGGTACGTGTCATGTGTTGGTTGCTAAGCAACATTGTCACAATACACCTGATGACCTTCCAACCCCGCCAAAGTCTGGTGTTACAGCCCCCTTTTCACACTCGTATATAAATGTGTGTGTGTGTGTGTGTGTGTGTGTGTTATCTGAGATGATGGTGCAACTGCTGGATAGCAACTGGGAACAGCTGTGATTTCACAGTCTCAGATGCGCACGCGTGTGTGTGTGTGTGTGTGTGTGTGTGTGTGTGTGTGTGTGTGTGTGCGTGTGCGTGTGTGTGTGTGTGTGTGTGTGTGTGTGTGTGTGTGTGTGTGTGTAATGTGTGCACCCACAACAACATAATATAGCACACAGGCACCTCTACTGTGGGAGTGACACACACACACACACACACACACACACTGTTGTCACACTGCAGCTGAAAATAGCAAGCTGAGGGAGCGCTGGAGCAGTCATTTCCCTGAAGATTCATTCATGTAAAATACTGTTATTCAAACCTCCCTCCTCTTTGTTCAATAGTCCTATTCATCTCTCTCTTGACTGTGAAACCAAACAGATGTCGTCTTCTGCTTCCCAGGCAAAGAGCTTTGTGCTCACGCTAACTTGTGTGTTTTCTTTGCTCTTCCCTTTAAGAGGAATGCCCTTGGCCCGCCTGACCTGCTTGCTCCCGCTGAACCCCCATCCATCCTTGTCATTTAACACCTGGGGCGGGCTCTGCCGCAACGCTCAAGCCAACCAGAAGCTGTGACGGTAAATGACATCATTTAGCGGAGGATCTTTTGGGCTGGCCCCTCAAGGTGATTAGTCGCAGAGAAAGTGCTCTTATTGTTATGAAGATTAAGTGCTATATGAAGGGCTATCAGAGGAGTGCCCCTTAATGAAAGTGGAGCATGGAGAGCAAAGGCAGCACTTTAGGGAGCGCTGACATGGAGCACTAGAAAAAGGAGAGTGATACTGGAAACCAGGGATGGGGGAATGAGGAAAGTTTAAGGTGGAAGAGGACAGGCAATGCAGTAAGAGAGCGAAGGGGGAATGCGGCACTGCATATTTAGCAACTGTGTCCAGACTTGCTGACTCCGGGTGTTCATGCGCTGAATGTACCATGAGAGGCAGACAGGAAACTGTCGAGAAACAGCAAAAAAGGGAAAGAAGGAGAGGAAGTTCACGTTTTATGAATTTGCCCCTTTCTATTCTTCTATTCTGGCTTTCATGTGTGGGAGTGTTTAGGAATGTATAATTAATGCTTGCTTAACTTGCAGTTGGGTATAAAAGTGGAACATCCTGCCTCTGAGAAAAATTCCACCCTGAGCAGTTCCTACGCTGTCGTAAATCGTCAACACATTCACACTAAAGTTCTGAATGTCGTCTCTGCCTGCCTTCAGTTAGTGTTTACTACACTTCCCAGAATGCCTTTTGACACCCCAGCTCTGTGTATTCCATTTACCCTGGAAGTTGGAACTCAAATTTAAAGAGCACATCAAAACCGACTTAAAGCTGAAATAGCGAATCTGCAAACAATCTATCATTTAAACATGTGGATCTGTTATTCCTCACGTCGAGTGTGATCCCCAGGCCACCTTCACTGGACATCCAAACCCGCATTCCCAGAGTAAAAGGGAGCAAAAAACATCAGTCGGCATTTTCTACAGTAGGTCCAAGCGTCTTTGGTTGTCCGTGACTTCAAAAGGTGTGTTGCGTTGTGGTAATGGGTATTTTGTCCTAAATTTGAAGTGGTAGCAGCAGGCGGATTTTCCCTCTCCAATATTATTCAGCTGTGAAACTCACACCAGTGGTGTTCTGTTGCAAAGTGCATGAGCGCTAAAAGAGTGGAGGGCCCAGGGAAGTGCGGTGGTTTGGGAAGACGACAACCGGATGGTCCAATTGTTGCTTTCACTGCTAACCGTGTTATTGGCTGAGGCTTCAGACATTTCATTTGTTGTTAGCTGTACTAAGTTAGAATGTTGTTGAGAGGCACGATAAATAAAAGTTTTAAGCTAGCTTGTTTTGCAGATTTGCTATTGTAGCTTTAACTGTCACGCTCACTAACAAAGCTAACTAGCATTAGCTAAATCAGCTTATTGCAAGCATTTCATTGCATTCAACCATAGTAGCTACAGGGCTGACAATCTTTGCATTATTTCATTCGTGAGAGCGGGTTGAGTGTGGAGTGCACACTCATGTGGAGTCCCTCCTTGGTTCATTAGAGCAGGGCTGGTGGTGACTTTACCTTTTCAGCTTGACAAATTGGAGGTGTGACATGAGATCTTGTGAAGACAGCATGTTTCCCTGCATGAGATTTGGCAGCCCTTGACAATGCCAATGGTAATGTTTTATCACATATTGTGCCTACCTTTGCTTTCAAAAATTTTAAACAGTATGATCTGGCTCCTTTAAAGTGATAGTGTGTATTTTTGCTGGAGATAGGGGGCAGTAGATACCTAAATTGTTGCAAGCAGTATTTTTGTGTTGGAATAAGACCTTATCAACGGATGCCCATTAGGGTCAAAAAGCCCAGGGGAGTGCAAACTTTAGCAAAAAACAAGCACATCAGACTCTGTTTCATCACTGGCAACAAGTGAAGAAGTAAATGTGTAAAACAACATTAAGAAAGAGTTTTGTATCCGTTTGTTACAAATCAGTAAATGCTTTTTGTCCTCGTGGGCTCCCGTAGAAGGAAACTTGGAATCTAGTATGGCATCTCCAAGAAACTTAGACCCACTCCCGTGTATTTTAGACCTGATTTTTATGGTTATACGTTACGAAGCCGCCAATATTTTTCAACAACTGGGCATCATTTCATTCATTTTCGACAACATTTTGATGGATAATTCCAGAAATTGACGGTAAAAACTACACAATAGCCACGTTTACATGCGCCGAATTTCCCTAATCCGATTCAAATCTTGGATCTCTGTTTACATGCACACTAACTAAAATGATCCAATCACGCCGTGAGTTCATATTTACCAAGTATTCTATCAGATTAAATAGGTGAGCATGTGCAGAGTTGTCTTTCCCGAAAAAAAGTAAACAAACGTCATGAAATGAAATGAAAAATGTAAAAACTTCCTGCTTTCCTGATTCATTTAATCATTTCAATGATTTTATTTAGCTCATAGAAGTGATGTTTTCATCAGTAAATAACTGCAGGTTTATGCTTTGCTGCATTTTATGTTGACAATATTAAAATAAGTGAGGGTTATCCTTGTCTCTGCTTCTTGATCGGCTGGTCCGCGGGTCTGATGTGTCGGCTGGGCGCGGCGCTGCGTGGAGAGGGGCTGGGGGGGTATTACTGAGCTGCGTTGTGATTTATTATTAATAAAATGTGGCAATCAGCAGAAACTGTTGAGAAAAGTTGGTTCAAACTAAATAACAGGAGATGTTCAGAAAGTCTGGAAGCCTGTGTTCATCATGTGTTAAACGAACCGCATCTCATCTCATCTGCGTTAACATGCTTTACACAGATTGTCACCCACAACATTTAACTGAGGATGTTTTTCTACTTAACATCAGTCTCCTTAAACCCAAACCGGGTCTGTTTAACTGATGACAACCTGTCTTCTTTACGAGCACGTCTCCATCCACCTGCTGCAGAAACAGCTGCTGTGTTCACAGAAACGGGGATTCGTGCTGCAAACCCAAAATGAACCTGCGTGTTTCCAGTACAGACTTGAACATGTTTGTTTAGAAATTTGTACAATAGTCAGATTTTTTATTTAACTTCCACAAAATGCAAGTTATGGATGAGATATTACAGAAACGGGGACGGCTTACCATCATATTTAAAAGCCGGCGCTCGTTAATTAGGCCGTCGTTTTTTTAAGCCAGGCAGTCTAAATGACAGCGGGGAGGCTCGCTAGCTGTTGCACACATGCGCAGTGGGCATTATTTTACTCCTACAATCCGAATGGCTGTGTGCATGCAAGCCAATCGGAATGAGGATCGGACAAAACCAACTCTCTCAATCGGATTTAAATTTTATTCCGAACGGGCCTAATCGGATCAGAACTTTCCGATTGACATGTTTACATGCAGAATATTTTATCTGATTGGGCGTTGAATCCGATGAAATGTGCACATGTAAACGTGGTTAATGTCACTTTAAGTTTAGCTTTTTGGCCACAATCCAGCACTCCAACCGTGCTGTTCTGTTGTGCTTTCTTTATTTTTTCAGATTTTTTTCCTAAATAACTTGAAGCAAATCTAAAGGTATTTAACTAGAACAGGTTCCACTGGAGAGCTGTAGTGTCAGATACTGTTTCCCAATTTTCTTTGCCCTTTCAACAACACGATTACAAGGGAAAACGCTTGAGAGCTTAGTTCTTATTTGCCTGTCAAGAAAAGGCCTTTTTCTGGATGCTGGGGCTAATTCTCAGAAGCACTGACTGAAATTAACATTTTGACTCACCTGCAAACATCTGTTACAAAAAAGAACCTCTGAGGGATCATTTTCACCAGCCTTCCACAAAAAATTTGTTATTATGCCTGTGGGCCGTCATCAGCTGTTTGTCCATTTGGTTGAAGGCTTTGGGGAATTTATTTGGTTCTAAGAATGAATTGTGAAAAAGGTGACATTTTTGTTTATTTAGATTTCCTCATTGTTGGTTTTCCTCACGGTTTTTCGGTTTACAACTTAGATTCAGGAACTCTTATCGTGAGGAAATGACTGAGCATCAGTGTAGTGAGTGAGAGTTGTTGGATGTTGTTGTCCACCCAATAGGGTACGGGTATCAGATCTCACATGCCTGGTGAGGATTGGGCGTGGTGAGGATCTGACAGTCACTGCCTGTGACTAAATTGCTCTGACGTCACGTGCTACCTGTGTTTACACTCACTTTCTTGGTTTTTCAAGCTCAGTAACTGCTCTAGAATACCACAGGCAAAGGTTAGTGCCTGCAACTAGTTATTCCAGGGAATGTTGTTTTGGCAAAGCAGCAGGAGATTTGGGGAGATACTGCCACGTACTGGCTTGGCATGCCTAAGAATGTGCTTAAAAATGCACTGGAGTGTTTTGCTGAAAACGAGGTGGTGTGGACTTTAGCTCTAGCTGGGCGGGGGAGGATACTTGATTTAAAAAAAAACCTGTGTACATTGATTCATTTTCTACTAGGTTCTACTCGGTACTACACAGCATAACCAGGATTTCCTACAGAAAACTTGCTAAGTTTAAAATTATGACTCATTAACAAAACGTCTTTGTTCTACACAACGCAAAATCTTGAAATATGATTTTGCCAAACATGGGAGTGTGTGTGTGTGTGTGTGTGTGTGTGTGTGTGTGTGTGTGTGTGTGTGTGTGTGTGTGTGTGTGTGTGTGTGTGTGTGTGTGTGTGTGTGTGTGTGTGTGTGTGTGTGAATGCTTTCAGGAAATATATAATTTCCATAACAATCTCAATAGTGCCAACGGTAATAATTTTTCATATATTGTGCCTACCTTTGCTCTCCAAGATTTAAAATAGTGTGGGGATAAGTGAAAAGCAGATTTAGTCCTGGTTTGGTGCCACATAAAAATAAAACAATCTCTAAAGTTAGAAGTGACTTTTTAGACAAGCACAAAACAAGCTCGAAAATGCAGCTGCTGCACAAGGCTCAAGGCTGAGAGGAGATAAAGCTCAAGTCTTCCCGTCCCATTACTGTTAAAATCTCCTACCAACAAAGGTGTACCGTTTATGCCAGCTATCCTCTTCCTCTCTCACACACACATCACCCCTGGCTAAAGGAATGTAGCAGAAAAACGAAAGAGGTAGAAGATCAGAGACCTTAATATGATCCACATTGTGTGTTCTTCTGTTTTCCC